TGGGAATTTGGGAGATTGGGAATTTGGGAGAGTTGGAATTTAGGAGAGTTGGAATTTGGGAGCTTGGGAATTTGGGAGCTTGGGAATTTGGGAGCTTGGAAATTTGGGAAATTGAGAATTTGGGAGATTGGGAATTTGAGAGAGTTGGAATTTGGGAGAGTTGGAATTTGAGAGAATTGGAATTTGGAAGAGTTGGAATTTGGGAGATTGCGAATTTAAAAATTTGGAAATTAAAGAATTCTGAAATTTATAAGATTTGGTAATTTGGAAAATGTGAAATTGAAAATTTGGAATTTGAGAAATGTGAAATTGAAAATTTGAAGAAAAGTTTCAGGTTACATTGAGAATGAGGCTGCCACAAAATTAATGGAACCTTTCGCTCACGTTGACTAAACCTCATTAAAGCGAAGCCAATAAAGATTGTAAGCCGGCAATATGAGTCGTATGATTTCCAATATGTGTCGAGGGAACTCGGTTATTTTTATTCGGATGCATCTTAAGGGAGATATTTAGGTCAATGTCGAATAAAGATGAACCCTGAAACTCTATTTTTATGGGGAAACTTTCGGATGAATTATCGTAAAATTGCGCGGGTTTAACGAGCACCATTTTCTTTCCTTGCATAAATTAAAACTTCAGAGGGAATAATAAATTATTTTTTAAGAGTAATTCGCTTATATTACTTTCTCAAAATAATTATGTTAAGTTTTATTTAAATTGTAAGTTTTTGTATTAATATTTTAGTTGTCATTAATTTATTTTAATTATATTAACTCTGTCAAGTATTAAACATATTAATTGTATTCATTTTGTCAAGTATTAAATATATTAATTGTATTAATTTTATAAATTATTAAACATATTAATTAAACATATTAATATTTAATATCATCAACTAAATGATACTCAATTATATTAAATAAAGTGTACTTGAGTTATACTTTCGTTTAAGAAGACAAATGATTTACGAACATTCTCCAAATATTTTTATAAACTGACTCGCAATCCGCCATCCTTTGTTTGGAATACAAAAGAGACACGAAACAGGAAGAAAACGTGGAATCTTGAATTTTATCGAATCTACTTTGTTACAAAAATAAATGTTTATCGTTCACGGTCATCCGATGACCCGACTTCCATTTTGTTTCTGACTCAGACTCCACCAAATATTTCACGTATTAATTTAACAAAACCTTCTTTCGATCTTTCATATTGTTTTCACACAACCTAATTGCAATTTAATATGAATCTTCAATTTGTAATTAAAAATATATTACGATTAAAAATACGAAATCTAAGGTTAGAACTAAAGGGCTCTTCAACTGGGAGTTCAAAATGTTTATCCAGTTTAACTAAGGTCAATATTGACCCATTGATAGAATTTATCGATCGAATATTTACGAAGTAATAATATTTAGTCTAATGATTACGTCAACGCCTATTATAAGAGCTATGTATTTTCACTAGCATAACATTATATAAGAATTTCATTGGAACTGAGATTAATCGTTGTCTAATCTGACGTTGATTCTGTCTCAATTATCTTAATTAATAGTACATCAGGAGTCAATGGAGAATTAATGTCAATTACCAATCGCTGCTATTCGAATATAAATCTTAATTGTGCTTAATGTGATTTTAATCAAGATTTTTTATAGAAACATTTAGTGAATCATTGACGTATTGACTTTCGTTATATTGCCACTTTTGAGGTGCGAGTTTAGGGGTCTGAAAGTGAATTCTGGAATTTTGTTATATTGCCATTTTTTATTTGCAAGTTTAGGGGTTTGAAAGTTAAGAATTTTACAATTTTGTTATATTGTCATTTTTTATTTGCAAGTTTAGGGGTTTGAAATTGAAGAATTCTGGAATTTCGTTATATTGCCACTTTGATTTTTCCAAATCTCGAAAGCCCCAAATTCTCGAATTTCCAAGCTCTCAAATTTCCAACTCTCGAAGTCCCCAAATTCTCAAATTTCCAACTCTCGAAGTCCCCAATTTCTCAAATTTCCAACTCTCGAAGTCCCCAAATTCTCAAATTTCCAAGCTCTCAAATTTCCAACTCTCGAAGTCCCCAAATTCTCCAATTCCCATCTCTGCAAAATTCCAAATTCTCAAATTCCCAAATTTGCAAAGTTCTAAACTCTCAAATTCCCAAATCTGCAAATCTCTAAACTCTCCAATTCCCAAATCATCAAAATTCCAACTTCTCAAATTCCCAAAACCACAAAGTTCTAACCTCTCAACCTGCCAACACCTCAAACTTCCAAACTCCCACCCTCCCAAAACCCCCAACTTCCATCTCAACCTCCCAAACCCACAATCTTCCAAATTCCCAACTTTCCCTTTCCGCAACCGCTCCCTTGTCCTCTTCCCCGTATCAACGCAACCGGTCATCGAATACAGAATCCCATCGGCCTCCGTTAACGTACGATCCACAAAAAGTAAACCCAAAGTATCTTAATGAACACCGCACGCTCGTCATCACCAGTTTTCTTGTTCTTTTTCTTCTTCTTTATTTCTCAGCAGGAAGATTACGAGAGTAGACTCTTTCTACGGTTCTTTCCCTTCTATCCGGTTGGTCGCATCATTCTAGCTTGTTGACCAGCAGTTTAGTCTCGAACTGCACGCGGATTGCTTTACATCGCCGGTTTTTTCGTCCCGTGTTCGCGGCACCTCCGTCATCTCCTTGAGATGTGCAACGGTGTTCTATCGATCCTCGTCCTCCAGTTCTTCGTCCTTTCCTCAGCCGAGCTCGAACTCTATGGTAAATATTAGTTTGCATAAAAATTCTGTCCTCCGAAACGCTACTTGTTTTCGCGAAACGACCGGAATTATGATCGCATTTTGCCAACAGAAATTCGTCGCAGGAACGTTGCGAATTCGTTATTCTAGTCGGATAAAATAAGTATAATATACGAATGACGTCACTGCATAGTGATGAATTAGAGTTCCTTCCACGAATCTGCGTCTCCTTTGCATGAAATGCATAACGTTACATTTTTGTTCGGTTTAGGGTGCTTTCACGGCTTAATTCGCTTTTGTATGTTTCGTAGTGTGTTAGGCTTTTGTGGACCCCGAAAAGTGGACAGTTGGGACATCTGCAGTACATATGTGGTGCTATAGTGATTGATGAAGGCAAGATATTCGCGACATACAAATTGTGGCGGTTTCTTCTTGAAATCTTGATTTTCTTGGAAGTTTTGTGAAATGTTTTATGTAATGGTAAATTGAGAGATGTGGGAGACGTTGGAGAGGTGGAAGGTCTTGGTATTTTGATAGATGGAAAAAGAACAACGCAGTGGATACGTAATGGTGCATTTTTAGTATGAGTGCTTTATCATTTGTTGACGGTATTGAATGTAGATAATTTTTCAGTGATAATCCCGGGAAATGAGTATTTGGGAATTTGCAGATTTGGAATTTTGGGAACGGAGGGAATTAGGGAGATGGAGAGGTTTGGGATTTGGGGATTTGGGGATTTGGGGATTTGGGAATTTGGGAATTTGGAAATTTGGAAGATTTAGTAATTTGGGATTTGGGAGATTTGGGAATTTGGGAAATGGGGATTTGGAGAATTTTGGGATTTGGGAGATTTGGGATTTGGGAGAGTTGGGATTTAGGAGATTTGGGATTTGGGAGATTGGGATTTGGGAGAGTTGGGATTTGGGAGATTTGGGATTGGGATTTGGGGATTTGGGGATTTGGGGATTTGGGAATTTGGGAATTTGGAAATTTGGAAGATTTAGTAATTTGGGATTTGGGAGATTTGGGAATTTGGGAAATGGGGATTTTGGGAGATTTGGGATTTGGGAGATTTGGGATTTGGGAGATTGGAAATTTGGGAGATTTGGGATTTAGGAGATTTGGGATTTGGGAGATTGGAAATTTGGGAGATTGGAAATTTGGGAGATTGGGAATTTGGGAGAGTTGGAATTTGGGAGATTGGGAATTTGGGAGCTTGGAAATTTGGGAGATTGAGAATTTGGGAGATTGGGAATTTGGGAGCTTGGAAATTTGGGAGATTGAGAATTTGGGAGATTGGGAATTTGGGAGAGTTGGAATTTGAGAGAGTTGGAATTTGGGAGATTGGAAATTTGGGAGCTTGGGAATTTGGGAGCTTGGAAATTTGGGAGATTGAGAATTTGGGAGATTGGGAATTTGGGAGATTGGGAATTTGGGAGAGTTGGAATTTGGGAGAGTTGGAATTTGAGAGAGTTGGAATTTGGGAGATTGGGAATTTGAGAGATTGGGAATTTGGGAGCTTGGAAATTTGGGAGAGTTGGAATTTGAGAGAGTTGGAATTTGGGAGATTGGAAATTTGGGAGATTGGGAATTTGGGAGCTTGGAAATTTGGGAGATTGAGAATTTGGGAGATTGGGAATTTGGGAGAGTTGGAATTTGAGAGAGTTGGAATTTAGGAGAATTGGAATTTGGGAGAGTTGGAATTTGGGAGAGTTGGAATTTGAGAGAGTTGGAATTTGGGAGCTTGGAAATTTGGGAGCTTGGAATATTGGGTGATTGGAAATTTGAGAATTTGCAAATTTATTAATGTGGAATTTGGGAGATTTGGGAATTTGGGAGCTTGGGAATTTTGGAACTTGTTAATCCGAGCAATTGAAGCTTCAGTAACTCGTCTTTAAAATGTAAAGAATGTATCTTCATAAATTTTGTACAGTTTTTCCTTGTTCTCGGTTCCGTAGAAGGCAGTCCATGCACATTGGAGGATGGTGGACCAGGGGAGTGCAAACTGCTGCCCGATTGTGCGGCCAGATTGCAGGAGGTGAGAGATGGCAAAAGAGACTCGGAATCGTCAGGAAGGTGTGGGTTCTCCGATTTTACGGAGATCGTATGTTGTCCCGTAAATATTGAGAAGAAATCAGCTTCTCGTCCAGCGGAAGTTGGTACGTGATGTACACAGAGGACTCGCGTTATATTGCAATTCTCATGTGGATTTTCACGTCAAATGAATTTGAACTGGGGAATTTGGAGAATTTGGGGATTTTGAGATTTGAGGAATTTTGGGATTTAAGAATTTTAGGATTTGAGAAGTTCGGAATTTGGGGAATTTCGTATTAGGATAATTTTGAAATTTGTTAATTTGGGGATTTCAAGATTTAATAATTTATAGGATTAGGAATTTGGGAATTTAGAAATTTGAAAATTTGTATATATAGAAATTCCGAACCTTGAACACCAAAAAATTTGTAATTCAGTAAATTTGTGAATTCCAGAAGTTAAGAACTATTGAATTTTGAAATTTAAGACAACGCAGAAGATTAAAAAATAGGGAAATGAATTTGAAACCTCAAATTTGATAATTGTAATATACTCACTCTCATACAGTCTAAAATGAAATAAAAAATCTGTAAGTAGTTCTTAATAAATGAAGAGTAAATCCACTTTCTGCAATATAACGAGATCCTACTATATTTCGCACATCTTATTTTCATATTTCTGAAGAAAACAAATATAAATTGTTCAGATGGTGATCAATCATCGATTATATCACTCAGTTAGCGAATCATTATCTGAAATTACATAATCAATATTTCTAACACGGAACTACACGTTGTTTCGTTTTCCTTATACTAGTTTTTATCCCGAGGCTATTTTCGGGAGGGTCCATCTAAAGAGTAGAACGTCTGTAACGCGAAGGTTTACAGTTATTTATGACATAATAATTATGTTGACCTCATGGCTTGTAAAATGATGCGTGCGTTCAAGTTAGGTTTATCAGTATAATAAACACAGGCGTAATATAACTGATCGAAGTCTGGATATCGTCACTGATTTAACATTAGAAAATATCGAAAATAGCTCGATTACATTCAAGAAACTTTCGCTTACAGTATTTTATATAGCGTCTTTTGCTATTTTTATGCGATATAACGGAAGCCAATCATTATGATGTTTTCAGATAAAACTTGTATGATAAGATAACTTGGGATCACAATAATTCATTCAAAACTGATACACAAAACGTCCGAAACACGAATGTTTTCGGTAATATATGTTAATCGTATTATAAAAACTCCATACATAACCCGCTACGAAAGACATATTTACATGGGAGCCATTTACAATCCAAATGGTTGACCTTTTGGTAGGACGTCCACAGGCTTACATTTTAAATAAAATCCACTTATTTTTACAACTATTATTAGAATATAAATCGTCAGATTTCAGGGATTCTGGGGATTTTAGAGATTTTGGGGATTTTGGAGATTTGGGTGGTTTTGGGGATTATGGGAATTTTGGGAATTGTCGGGATTTTGGGGATTTCAGTAATTTAGGGATTTAGGGGATTTTAGAGATTTTGTGGATTTTGGGGATTTGGGAAGTTTTGGTGGTTTTGGGGATTTTAAATATTTTAGGGATTTTGGGGATTTCAATGATTTAAGGATTTTGGGGATTTTAGGATTTTTAGGAATTTCAGGGATTTTGAAAATTTTTGGTATTTTAGGGATTTTGTGGATTTTGGATATTTTAGGGATATTAAGGATTTTGGGCATTTTAGGGATTTTGAGGATTTTGGGCATTTTAGGAATTTTGTGGATTTTGTGTATTTTAAGGATTTTTGACATTTTAGGGATTTTAAGCATTTCAGGGATTTCGAGAATTTTGGGTATTTTTGAATTTGTGAATTTAGGAATTTGAATAACCAATACTCAGATTCTATTCAGACTATACCCTCTATATGGCCCACTTGCTTTATAAGTTCATTCTTTTCAATTTTGCGTTTGTATAATTTTCAGCCTGCGAACAATACGATGGGAATGTAACAATAAGCGACGACGATTTGAATACAGTGACCTACCACGTATTCAACGGTTTGACGGCTAGGGTCGGCGAGTTTCCATACATGGTTGCTTTGGGGTACAATAGTCGGCAGAACAATCTTTCATCTATCTCGTATGATTGCGGAGGGAGCTTGATCTCGCCTCAACACGTGTTAACAGCGGCGCACTGTGTTAAAAATCGGGACGAGAAGGTGCCCATCGAGGTAAGTTAATAGTCCTAGCTACACTACCAAAGTAACGTCCGAATAATCCAAATAATTCCCTCATACAATTTAAATAAGCCCAGTTCCTTCAAATAATTCTGCTGGTATTCAAATAATCCTGTACACTCTAAATGAACTTCGTCAGCTAGTTCTAATTATTAGTACCTTAATTGCTATTAATAACTAGCATATTTAGCAAGGTATATATTGTTACAGGTACGACTTGGAAACGAAGACCTACGAAGTGCCACAGAAACTGTGCAACGCATCCCCATCAGCGACATAATATCACACCCGGAATATAGACTCAGCGCAGTTTACAACGATGTGGCAATTTTAAAATTGAAAACGAAAGTAGCATTTTCGGAAAGAGTTAAACCTGTTTGCCTCCAAACAAGATCCATAGAGGAAGTGACTATAACACCAAGGGCAAATTTTATAACAGTTGGATGGGGCCGGACTGATGCACTCGAAGATCCTTCACCGCAACTAATGAAGACTTACAGTCTAAGGTACGTTGTTTCTAAAATTAAAATGTCTGAAGTTTCTCGTGTTTGATATTTTAGTTTGGTCATTTGGTAGTTTGGTAACTTTGTAGTTTGGTAGCTTGATAGTTTGGTAACTTGGTAACTTTGTAGTTTGGTAACCTGGTAGTTTGGTATCTTGGTAGCTTGGTAGTTTGGTAACTTGGTAGTTTGGTAGCTTGATAGTTTGGTAACCTGGTAGTTTGGTAGCTTGGTAGTTTGATCATTTGGTAGTTTAGTGACTTGGTAGTTTAGAAATCTGGTAGTTTCGTAGCTTAGTAGTTTGGTCATTTGGTAGTTTGGTAACTTGGTAGTTTGGTGGCTTCATAGTTTGGTAACCTGGTAGTTTGGAAACCTGGTAGTTTGGTAGCTTAGTAGTTTAGTCATTTGGTAGTTTGGTAGCTTGATAGTTTGGTAACCTGGTAGTTTGGTAGCTTGGTAGTTTGGTCTATTTGGTAGGTTGGTAACTTGATAGTTTGGTGGCTTGATAGTTTGGTAACCTGGTAGTTTTCTAGCTTAGTACTTTGGTCAGTTGGTAGTTTGGTAGCTTGATAGTTTGGTAACCTGGTAGTCTGGTAGCTTGGTAGTTTGGTCTATTTGGTAGGTTGGTAACTTGATAGTTTGGTGGCTTGATAGTTTGGTAACCTGGTAGTTTTCTAGCTTAGTACTTTGGTCAGTTGGTAGTTTGGTAGCTTGATAGTTTGGTAACCTGGTAGTTTGGTAGCTTGGCAGTTTGGTCATTTGGTAGTTTGGTAACTTGGTAGTTTGGTAACCTGCTAATTTGCTAGCTTGGTAGTTTCGTAATTTAGTAGCTTGATAGTTTGGTAACCTGGTAGTTTGGTAGATTGATAGTTTGGTAGTTTAATAATTTGATACTTCAGCCATTTGGTAATTTGGTACTTTGTAACTTGGTAGTTTGGTAGCTTGATAGTTTGGTAATTTGATTCTTTGGTACTTTAATAATTTGGTATTTTGCTAATTTTGTAACTCGGTAGTTCATCAATTTAAAAGTTTGAAAATTCACAAATATGAAAAATTAAAAATTTAACAATTCAAAAACAAGGTTCAAAGTCTTGTTCAATGTAAATGAATAATGAAAATTTGAATGTTTAAAAATTGTTAAGTTTCGAAACCTCTTTACAGTCTCATAAAGCGAGAAGAATGCAACAAGTTCTGGAACAAAACTAACAAATTACCCCGCGGAATCGACGATACCATGATCTGCGCCAAGGACCCAAATGCCACCAGAAGATCGGACGCGTGTCAAGGTGACAGTGGAGGGCCACTATTAATGCTGTCGAAGTCAAAAAACTCTGTAATCGGAATCACAGCATTTGGATCAGGTTGTGGCAATGAAGAACCAGGTATTTACACCGGAGTTTACTCTTACCTGGATTGGATCGAAGAACACGTATGGGTGAACAACGAACAAGAAGTCGAAACAAAAACTGTCGTCAAGACAGAAGCCGCCAGCATAAAAATTTCGATAATCTCTCAATAATTTTGATTATTTAAACAAATCTGTTGCGTAATACTCACGAAGTTGGCCAACAATTCTATCATTTTTTAAGAAGTTGCTATTTCTTTTTTATATAGTTATTCAAAATAAAAAGTTAGCATGGCGAAGTGTGCGTCTTAGAGCTCGAACAAAGAACAAGGAGTATAAACATTAACAAAACCCTTTTTTATTTATTCACATTCTGTACAAATGTATTTTACATAATGTCGATAATATTGTATCGTGGCAATTTAGATGTCGGGCGGTATGTGCGGTTTTTAGAAAAGGAAGAATTAAAATGGACGGCGTTGAACTGTTAACTCGAGTGGAAAACTTGTAATAACGCATTTTAGTGTTTTAATAAACATAAATTCTGGAATATGCTACTTCTAAAAATCGTTAACAGGTTAAAGTATGCAGAAACTTCTTTTGTACCATAAATAATAAATTTTGAAACACGCGGTATATATTTAGTTCTGAAACGCCCGAATGCAAAGAAGTACCAGCACCAAAATTTAAAAGCAATTTCAAGCGATTTAGGCTTATAGTGGAATTCTTCCACTATTTCTCGAAACGAGAGTATCGTAAAATACAGTCCAGAAAATGGTAGATTTCCCTAGGAAAGATGGTAATGTTACTGGATAGAATTGAAAATACTGATTGCAAGAGATATGTTCGTATTCGATAGGTAAAGTTTCAGTGACATTTACAGGCGAGTGTATTTAGCCATTCTTCGTAGGGAAGCTCACTTTCGGTACTGTGCATGATACATTTGGTGCAATGTAGACTCCTCTTGGTTAAGAATTGCTGCACGAAAAGAAATCACCCTTAATTACAAAATATAATTTACTTATAAAGCGTCAAATTTAAAAATCCAAAAACTCAAACTTCATAGTACAAAAATCTTTCCAAAGTCTCTTAACTGAAAGAAGCCTACGTTACACACATATGTACTTATTATACAAAGTGTCTCACAACTAGTGTCCCTGAAGTGGGTAGCTGACAGATTCGGATAACGCGTAGTTATCCAACGCGTGGTTCCAACGTGTGGATATCCAACGCGAAGTAATCCAATGCGTAGTAATCCAGCGTGTGGATATCCAACGCGTAGTAATCCAGCGCGTGGATATCCAACGCGTAGTAATTCAACGCGTAGTAACCCAGCGTGCGGATATTCAACGCGTAGTATTCCAACGCGTGGTAATTCTACGCGTAGGAATCTAACGCGTGGTAATCTAACGCGTAGTTAATCAACGCGTAGTA